GGGGGGGGGGGGCGGCCGGCGCCCCGCCCAGTGGGTGCTGCGGGAGCTGTTCCTGACGGTAGGGTGGAGGGAGGCTGCGGTAGGGGCGGTGTACGGCGGACCCCGTCGGGTGTGGACCTCTCGGGTGAGAGAGGAAACAGGCCCAGGGTGGGGAAGGGGCGAGCCGCACGGATCCCAGGGCTGGCACTTCGTCTGCCTACACCCTCAGCAGTTAAGGACTTTGGCGCCGATGAAGCCTCAGTTTCTTCCTTTGTTAGGGGGAGGGGCGGTAATAACCCTGCTTCTAGGGCTGTGGTGAGGACGTACTGAAGTCACGTTCTGTAAAGGGCACTGCGCTTCCTAGTTCTTAGTAGATTCAGACAATGCAGTGTCTGAGATGATGCTGATGAGAACAGGCAGCGCTTTCCGAGTGCTTGCTATCTTCCAAGTTCGGTGTATTAGCTTGTGTAATTCCTCAATAAATTAGTGTTACTGTTTCCCCTAATTTGCACTCGAGAAAGATTACCTGCAATTTTGGAGTTCAAGAACCAGGACAAAATTTGTCAAATTCAGTGTGAGGTCAGGTTTTTTGTGTGTGTAAAGTCTTTTCCAGTCTGTCCTCAGCTTCCAGTGTTTTGCAGGATGGACATTTATGCTCTGAAGTCAGATGCCCTGGGGTGGAATTCTGGTTCTATCACTTACTAGCTGTGTGATCTTGGACAAATGACTTAACCGCCCTGTTGCTGTTTTCTCTTTCTGTAAAATAGGGACAATGACAGAATCGCCTCTTAAGGTTGTTTATGAGGATTAGATGGAATAATACTATGTAAAGTGGCCAGAAGGACCGACCACATAGTAAGTGATCAATAAATGTTAACTATCATTATTTTTTAAATAAAGGATTAGACGATGAGGGGCTAAAAATTAAAGCCGTGATAGCATTAAAATTTAAATATTGCATCGAGTGTTGTAAAACATCTCAGCATTGTTGTAAAGCTAAGCCAACGAAACAGGAGCACTTGAAACAGGATCATTAGTTACATTGCAGAGGTATGCTTCCATGTTCCATTTCTTTAAATAGTGAGCTCTTGGAAGGACCAGTCTCAAAAATGAGAAACTATTGTACTTGGCTGAGTTAGAAAAGCTAAATTACCAGTTCAAAATTAATTGGAAACCAAGTATATGCTGAAATGTTTGTGGTTGATAGAAAATACCATTTAATTTACAAGGTCTTGGTTTGCACAATGTGTTGGGGAAAGTCTATGCATGTTAAATTGAAGCCATTGACATAAGTGAAACCATAATTAATTGGGTAATGGAAGGTTAAACAGTTCTGATACCTGAGCCTCTTGACAAGTGATTCTAAGCGTGCTGCCTAAGTACAAACAGGTTTTTATGGTATTCACCTTTTATTAGAGGTTAAAATGTTTTATGTTCCGTACTTAAAATAGAACCTATGGCCATTTCACTGACATGGCCATTAATTTGAGAATAATTAGAGGTGGATTGGTCAAGATTATGGTGCTGATAGATGGTCTCGAGAATTTTTAACTTGAGAAGGCTGCCCACTCTGACAGCAGCCACTATCATCACAAGTGATCACTTGAAAAACATGGACATAGAAAACATGAACAAAAAGGTTAAAGTAAGGAAAAAATATGGAGGTGAACATTAATACTTAGCACTTGTCCACAGTACTGACAAGAGTTTATAATCTTTTATATGGGGTTGTTAGAGAAGGTTAATTGGTGCCTATTCTCTCTGACATGTAAATATTAGAGTTGGAGAATATCCTGATATAAAGTCAAGAAAGGAAATAAAAGGTTAGTGAGAGTGAGTTCAGAATGGTATTTAAAACACTTTCCTGACATTCTCCACAGTTGGAGATTGCAGGAGGACAAATTGTGTGCTTTCCTTTCAATTAATGTGAGCACACCCTGTTATATTGAGAGAGCTAAGACCTTGATAATCCCAATACCATCCCTTCCCCCCAGCTTGGCTCTGTAATATATTTTGAGAGATGCTCAGTCATGCCTGTTCACACACAGATAGTAGTTTTCTGATTTTATATTTCATTCTCTTCCTTTCCTACCTCTCATTCTACCACCCTTAAAGAGGCTATTAATAGAAATTTTTAATGTTTTAGATTTTGTTGTCATTGCTGTTGGAGTTTATTTAAAGTGTTGAATAAGTCAACTTTGAGAGCAAAAACTGGATTCCATCTATTTCTATAGTTCTAGACCTGGTATATACAAGGTGCTTGGAAATGTTTAACAGTAGAGCTCCTTGAGAATTGTGTTTCATTATGGTAATAGAAGTTTCAGTTATTCAGAAGCTCAAGGATGATTGGTATCACTGGATGGGCACAATTTAGGTATCTTGATGTCTTCCGTAAGTGAGCTAGTAGCTCATTGTGTACGCATTTTTCCTCTTTTTATTCACTAGGTTTCTACTGCATGCTAAACATAAGGAGTATAACATTGAAAAGACACATATTCTGTCCCAAAAGATTTTACAGTTGCATGGGAAAAGGTAACAAGTGAATAATTACAACGCAGAGTTGCTGTGAGAAAACATTGGCTGGGGAGATAACCCAGTCTTTAGGGGAATCCAGGAAGGACGAGCAGAAGTTAGGCAGTGAAGCTCAGCCAGATCATAAAAGGACATGTTCGCCATATTAAAGAGCTTGAACTTTATACTGATCAGTAAGAGTTAATGATTACTAAGACAAGCACCTTATAGTTTCAGATTAACATCTTCCTAGGTAGCTTTTATCGCTTACTTTTTCTGTGCTGGATTTGCACAAAGATAATGTTTGCTTATGATACTAGTAGCTTTCTATTTCATCTTTGATTTCTATTAAAGAGTTTGAAAAAATACTCTTATCTGCCAACCATAGGAACCTGGCAGGCAACCTTTTGGTTTAAAGAATATGGTTTAATTATAATGATCCCTGTAACAGATAGATCACATTTCTTTTATAAGCCGTCTTTAAGAATTTGTGCTTGTTTGTGACATAACCTTGAATAAAGTCATTGTACTGTCTTTCATTGGCAGCCTCTTGAGTGGAAATTGGGTATATTCCTGAGTGGTAGACTTTTTGAATGAGCTTGTCCACTTTCTATCTGTGGGTAGCATCTATATATTTTTATGTGTTTTGCATCATCTGTCTAGATCCTAAATTCTGTATTACTGAATTTTCTATGTATACTTTCTCATGATTCTACATAATTTTAGTATTTATCATTTTAATAATTTAGATGCTCTTCATGCTATTTAAATATTGTTTACAACCTTAATTTATTTCTGTCACCTTTAGTTTTTGGGTCAGTGGTCCTCAACCCTGGTGGACAACAGAATGATCAATGAGGCTTTTTTAAAGGACCTAGGTTTCTGGGGCCTACCCCAGAACAAACCCCCTAATCAGACTATTTGGCAGTGGGCCTTGAAATCTAACGTCTAGAAATAGCAACAACTATTGTAAAATATAAGGAAGGCGATTCTGATGTATGCATCTGTAGTTGACAATTGCAGCCTTATTCTCACAGAGATTTGTTGAGACTTGAGATCACATTTAGATCTTATTTTGATCTCCTTTTTAGTAATTTGATGATTCTGTAATGGGTGGCTTTTGAAAGGAAAAACCCCAGCCTGAGTGCAAAATAAGACACACCAGGAGACAGGGACTCAACCAAAGTGTATTAGGCAGGCAAAATGAACAAGTGGGCTGCCCTCTCGAAAGTGGGAGCAGTTGGGGAGCAGTCACAGGGAGAGTCGGGGTGGGCCTTTTATATCCAGTTAGACTGAGCTGGACTGTTCCTATTGGCTAAGAAGGAAGGGGAGGGAAGCGAGTGGGGTTTAAGCTGAGCTGGGACTTTCTCATAGGCAGGCAAAATTGTGCCCGTGGGAAGGTGATGTGGCAGCTAGGGGATTTTTCTGGGTGGAGGTTTTCTGGGAAACTTTCTCAGGTGCCATTTTGTGTGTCTTGGTCTTTAATGGCGTTTTACTTTTCTGGCAGAGGGTATATTAGCCAACAGCTTTTCCCCAAAATTCTTTCCTCCTTTAGTGCCCGCGGGAAGGTGATGTGGCAGCTAGGGGATTTTTCTGGGTGGAGGTTTTCTGGGAAACTTTCTCAGGTGCCATTTTGTGTGTCTTGGTCTTTAATGGCGTTTTACTTTTCTGGCAGAGGGTATATTAGCCAACAGCTTTTCCCCAAAATTCTTTCCTCCTTTAGCCTTTTATTGAACAGTAGAAGGAATAGAGAGGGGATAGGGAAAAGTAGGAATTATGCTAAGAAATTGGTGCCCTGGCACCAAAAGAAGACAAAGTAAGACCAAATAATTCTTGTTTTGAAGTAAAAACACTTCAACAGTATTGCTAGGCAATGTTCTAGGTAGTGGGGATATAGTGGTGAATAAGACAAGGACCCCTGTACTAGTAGTTGGGAATGAGGTGGTCAAGGAATTGAATAGTACACCAATAAATAATCAAATTAATTTCGGCTAGTGATAGCACTATGAAGAAAATGAAAGAAAGGTATAATAGTAACTTGCAGAAAAGAAAGACATAATAGTAACTGTGATAAGGACAGGAAGTTTAAACTGAAATTGGCATTAGAAGTTGCTATTAGTCATGCTAAGATTTGTGATCTAGCTAGTCCAGGCAGAGAAAAATCAAGTACAAAGACCCAAAGTCAGTGACAAGCTTGGCCTTTTTGAGGGATAGAAACAAAACCAATGTGACTAGACCACTGTAGGCAGTCGAGTATGATGGTGTGAATAGGAATCTCTTTATTTCTATTAAGGGTGATCTAAGCCTTTTGACTTGAGAACCTGGGCTCAGTTACTATTTTAATAGTAAGAAGTTAAAATGAGGAAGACTGATGCAAATTGAGGGAAGCCAGGGAAGGCAAGAGATGCCACTTAGGCTTGAAGTTCTAAATAAGCATCTAGATCTGGGACTTCGGAGCTCATTGGCGAGATTGAGATTGGAGGTAAATACTTGAGTGTTAGCAACATGTAGATAAGTGAAATACATCCTTTCTCTTTCCCCCATCCTCCCATCTCCCCTTTCATTTTATTTTTTGTATGAGTAATTTTAATAACTGTCAAAATGTATGATTCTCATTCCTGACTGTAAGTTACTTGCCTTGGGAGATTTCAGAAAATAACCTATGCTCAGGTCCTAATCTTAGACATTCTGATTAGTTGATTTGGAATGGGGTTCAGGCATAGTTATCTTTTACAGCTCCCCCAGGTGATTATATTGTGAAAACAGATTTGAGATTCACCGGTCTATTGCAGGAAACTGCAGTATTTGCTGATGCTATTCTTGTTCTCTATAACAGAAAGAAAAAATGGAAGGCCTGCCTGATGCTGCTTCTTTTGCAATTAAACTTAAAAACACTCTCATCCAGTACCATAGTATTGAAGATGATAAGTGGCGAGTTGCTAAGAAAACGGTAAATCTTATATTTGGGGTACACCTTCTGTCCAATGAATTAGTTGATGACTTTCAAAATAATATGGAAAAATGTGGACAAGAGACCATACTTTGGATGGATGTCCAAGACAGATAATTGAGTTGGTGGGCTAACGCTTTACAAAGGAAGAAACATATCAGTAGTAATCCTGCACTGCTTGCATTAGCTCTTTAGATATTAGACATGAGCATAGGCTTATGGCAACTAGAGCCTAAAGAACAGCCTCTTAAGTCAACAAATAAAATGTATCATTATCAATTTAAGGAAGTATAGTAATTGCTAGTTTGGAATAGTTTCAGATATATCAATGAGCCTGTGAGGGTGGCCTGTTAGTGTTTCTTTTTACCAATATGACTTACCCAAACTATCACATGGCTGAGTGTTGACAAAGCCAGCTTTAGAACCAAGGACTCCTCTAGTTAAGAGTTGTAGCTATTCTGATATTTAGAATTACTTGGGAAATGATGGAAAAATGTTGTGACTAATTCCAGGTAACACTGTCATGGTAAATGTGAAGTGCTTAATTTAAAAAAAGGTATGAAGAATTTCAGAATGAAATGTGTAGTGTTCCTAATGTCATAGTCTAAAGGCATCAGTAATGGTAAGTAGATAAGATTGGAATGAGGCAAATAATAATGGCTACTAATATAGTACCATCACTGAATCATACAGTATTTGGGTCTCAGTAAGCTACTGAAAATCTTTTTTGAAGGACTGTAAGTACGATGGGAAGAACTTTAGGATACAGAAGAAATTTAAATACGGATCATTTTATGGCATAGGTGACTTTTATGTATCTCTAAAAATGTACTTGTTTTAGTTTAATGCAGAGATAAGTGCTCTAGACTTATAATTGTTTTATATCCACGGTTCTCCCTATCTAATTATCACCATGTAATGTTTTATTTTTCTAGAGCAGAGATAAGTGCTCTAGACTTATAATTGTTTGTTTTATATCCACGGTTCTCCCTATCTAATTATCACCATGTAATGTTTTATTTTTCTAGAAAGATGTAACAGTTTGGCGAAAACCCTCAGAAGAATTTAATGGATATCTGTAAGTAAATTCTTGTAGTTTTTTGTAGCTTCAAAGACATTGCTAAACTTCGTATATACCTGATGGCTAAATGATCATTGCTAGTAAAATTTGACTTTTGCTTTTAATATTTCAAACTTTCTGAAAAGCAAATTGGCCTTATAAATTCAGAGCTTTAAAATTCATATCCTTTGGGGCCGGCCCCGTGGCTCACTCGGGAGAGTGCAGCGCTGGGATTGCAGCGGCGCTCCTGCTGCGGGTTTGGATCCTGTATAGGGATGGCCGGTGCGCTCACTGGCTGAGCACAGTGCGGGCGACACCAAGCCAAGGGTTGCAATCCCCTTACCGGTCACAAAAAAAAGGACAAAAAAAAAATTCATATCCTTTGTTGGTGGTGAGGAAGTCATAAATAATGATATCAAATGGCTGATAAAATCTGAGTTTCTTAGCATAGTGTTCATGACCCTTCAATAGTCCACATTTACACAGTGCTGGAGCACACTTTATTCTAAGATTTTTTTCTTGAAGAAATCATCAGAAAGATGATAGTGATTTAAGTACTTGCTCTTCCATCCATAGCATTATTTATAATATTTAAAATTACAAATACCCTGAATAATCAGTAGTAGAAAGTCATTAAATTATGAGACATCTGTGATAGAATATTATATAGCCTTTAAAAACCACATTTTCAAAGATTATTTAATAACATAAGAAAATGCTCATAAAGTGAATAAAGCAAAATTCTAAACTGTCTGAGAGGATCTTCAAAATGTTCATGGAACGATTCATATTATCTTTTAAATCTATTTTTCCATGAACTTTTCGAAGTGACTTTGTATATAGCACAATTGTGGCTTTATTTTAAATATATATTTTTATTATTAAAATATTTTTACTTAACACCAAATATTCACTTCTAGATGGTAGTATTATGGATGATTTTTATTTCCCTTTTTTGGTGTTTGCTTATAGTTGAACATAAATTATGCCTATAATTAATAAATAAATAAACAAACAAACAAACAAATAAAATAAATATAAAAAAAATATATATATATATGCTTTATATATATATATGCTTTTTTAAAATTAATTAATTTATTTTTTTCCTTTTTGTCTATATGCTTTTTAAAGCCAGTGGAAACAATTGCCTTGTGTAATTGAAGTAGAATGTTCACATCCTTAGGACTCAGCCCTTTTTAAAAATGAAACTGCTGGCTTCACTTAGTGTGTACAGAATGTTCTAAAGTGTAATACTAAAGATAAAACATTTCCAGAAAGATGAGTTATACAATGTTTATGACAAGGTGAGGGAAACTGGAGTTGAATTAAGCATTGTAAGCAAGTGTGGAAGTTGATCCTTTGGATAAGGGAGTGTTGAAAAGTGTCAAAAGTGCTAGAGGAACACTGTGCTTCGAGATTTGAAAAGACTTCATAGAGGAGTTAATATTTGAGCTGAGAAGAAGAATAGGTATTTCTTAAGGAATGAAGGACTGATTTATATTCTAGGCAGAGGGAATTGCATCTAGTACATATAAACACAGATGAGAGACATCTGTGGCTTTTTTGAGGTTCTTAAAGGAATGTGTGATTAAAAGAAGTAGGAACTGATGAAGTGTTGAGTTGGACACAAAGTGCTCAAACTAAGGCAGTAGTATGGCAGTTGAAAAGGGCAAATGAATGGGAAAGAGATTTAAGGATGGTGGTGGCAGCGGGGGGGGGGGGGGGGGGGGGAACAAACATTTTTCTCCTGTCCTCTCCAAGCATAGCTATAATTTCTCCACAAATTAATTTAAATATTGGAGAGAGTCAATGGTTGACTTTACGTTTAGGAAATCATCTTGATAAAAACATAGTGACTGATTACTTCTGTCTCTGGGAATGGGGTTAGGAGAAAAAGAAGAGTCAAAGTTGAATCCTAGATTTCTAATTTGTGTGACTTGATTAATTCGTGTCACCCAAGTTAGAGAACACAAGATGGAAGAACAGATTTAGGATGGGGGAGATAATATAAGTTTTGCTTGACATATTTATTAAATGATTAAACAACTTCAGATTAAAAAAAAGAAAAAGAAAAAAGTACTGATACACTTGAAGCCAGTCTATCTTATTTTATCTTCTTTCTTCTCCAGAAGTAACTACTGTCCTGAAGTTGTGTGTATTATTCCCATTTCATATTTTGACCACACAGTCATATATACATATATAGTAAAAAGCATTGTCTGTTATATTTTTTAATATTCGTTTGTGTGTGTGTTTCATTTAGTAATTTGCCTTTAATTTTTTTCGTTCAATATTATGTCCTCAAGATTTAGCCATATTGTTACCTGTAAATCTATTCTTATTTCTATATGAAAATATCACAATGTATTTATGTTTGCAAATTTGTCTATTGATAGATTTTTAGTTGATGCCAGTTCTTCTCTATAAAGTACAATGCTAAAGTAAACCTGTTGGTATATGTCTTTTTATGTATATGTGTAATTTTCTTTGTGTCTTAGGGATGTACATCATCTAACTTTACTAGACATTGTCAAATTGCCTTGTAAAGTAACACTTCAAGTTACACTTCAAGAGTTCTCATCCCCCTCAGTTGAATACTCGCTATTACGTTTCTAATCTCTACCAATCTGAGCGATATGAATGAGATGATATCTTATTAGTATTTACTTGATTACTAGTGAAGTTAGGCATCTTTTGTATATTTATTGATATTTCAGGCCAATCTTAACATGTCCTTTGGCCATCTTTCTTTTGAATTGTCTTTTTCTTATTGGTCTATAGGAATTATTCACGTGTTCTCTATAATAATTCTATGTCTGCTTATATGCATTGCACATATCTTATCTCAGTCTATGGCTAGTTTAAAAACATTACTTATTTTTTGTGTGGTACGCACATTTTAAATTTTAACCTGATATTTCGTATTTGTGTTTTTGTCTGTTTTATGTGTTGAGGAAATCCCCCTGTATTCTGAAGTCACAAAGATGGTCTCTTGTATAAAATTTTTCTCAAAAGTTTTACGTTCTACACAAAGGTATTTAATCTGTCTGGAATTAATTGTTTTGAATGGTGTGAAGTAAGGATTCAGGTTATATTTTCTCCATAAGGATAAGTATTGAATCTAAGCATCACTTATAGGATAGTACATTCTTTCTCCACTGATACGTAATGTCACCTTTGAAATATATCAAGTTCCAACATATTTATGAGTTAGTTCCTCAGTGTTCTGTTTTATTGGTCTATTTTTCTCTTCCTAATAAAATATTTTTAAAAATCAGGGTAAAAATATATATGTACTAATTTGTTATAGGATAACTGAGGAAAGAATAATATACAAAATAAATGGAAGCATTAGTGTGCTATAAAGTATTTTTGGCTACACTGTAACATGAAGGGACCTTAATGTGTTCATGATGACAGATAATATAGCCTTCAGTTCTCTTTATTAGATTAGAGGACAAAGGGTACATTCTACTAAAATAATTGGTAGAACTTAATTTATCAGAAAAGTTGTTGTGATTAATTTCTTTTTTTTTTTTCCTTTTTGTCTTTTTTACTGACCGGTAACGGGATCGCAACCCTCGGTGTCGCGCCCGTACTGGGGACCGGCAACAGGATCGCAACCCTCGGTGTTGCGCCCGCACCACGCTCAGCCAGTGAGCGGGAACTGGTTTCCACGTGGGATCTGAACCCTTGGCGGGAGCGCCGCCGCACTCCCAAGTGGCGCACTTTCCAGTGCACCACCGGGCCAGCCCCTGTGATTAATTTCTTAAAAAATCCTTCATTAATTTTTACTCCTACTTTCAAGGTTAGCTCGAAACTATGAGGACATGCTGGAATTTTTCATTCTAATGGCATTTGACTTTAATTTTTTTTTTTTTTCTGTATCCAGATACAAAGTCCAAGGTGTTGTAGATGACATTGTTAATAGTATAATAGACCATATACGCCCTGGGCCCTGTCGCTTGGATTGGGACAGCTTAATGACGTCAATGGATATTTTGGAGTACTTTGAAGAGGTATCTGTTTAGAAACATTACTTCAGACTCTGTGTGTATGTGATAGAGAGCATGAGTGAGTGAAAACATGAGCATGAGCATTTGTATACACTTATATTCTTTCTATTTATTGCTTTGAGACTAGTAGTCAAGGCAAAGATATCACAGGGGAATCCTGTGCTGACTTGTAAAAAGCTTGAGTTTCCTTGTATTAATTAATGAGTCTTAGAAATGAGTTTGTTTTCCACAGTAGCTCTACCCTTGCTGCTTAAGAAAATCTTAAACATCTTTAATTGTAAAGCTTCAGTTCGGTTCTGAAATCTAAAATTCTGAAAACACCACTATCATATTTAGATTTCTAGGTAAATGTGTATAGATTTTCCATTAATACTAAGCGAAAAATCGAAGACTAAAGATAAAAATGCCATCTTATGCATTAGAGAATTATGTAGCCAAAATGGCTTGCACTCTTTCTATTTTTATTAATTCATTTCTTGCCATGTTTTAATTTTTTTATTAAAACATTTACTGTTGTAGTCAAGGTATTTGTGGACTTTATCTTAAACATTCAAAAATAGTGTACACCCCCTAATTGCATGTGGATTATTATATAAAATAAAATGTGACTGTATTTAATTATAGATCTGGACTCTGGGTAACTTGTAACGCTATTCTATATTTTGATTATATATCCTCTTCATGTCCATACAATAGCAATGAGATTTAAAGTAGAGATCTAGATCTATCAAAATAACTGTAAGAATTGTTATTATAATGATTATAAAACATTTTAAGTGATGATTAGTTTTTTACTAGAGACTGATTTATGACATATTAATCTATGTGTGTTTCCTATAGTAATAACACCTGTTTTACCTCCTTTCATTTTCAGAATTGCTGTGTGATGCGTTATACTACTGCTGGTCAGCTTTGGAATATAATTTCCCCAAGAGAGTTTGTTGATTTCTCCTACACTGTGGGCTATAAAGAAGGGCTTTTATCCTGTGGTAATAATTTCAAAACCTTATACTTTTAGTTTGGTTTAAAGATATGAGTTTTCTAGGCTGCATGTTTCTTCCTATGTGAGATATATTTTGAAACCTCAGTTATTTTGTAATCACTAATTTTTTTTTTTTTGCAAATGCTAAATTCTAGAGAGTAATATAGCAATATCAAGAATGGTTTTGAAATCTTTCTGTTAAGTTTTTGTTCCTAGTTACATGGTATTCTTTAGGTTGCATGTAGCAAATATAGTTCACTTGACTGCCTCTAAGAAAGGGATCCTGTAAATGAATTTCCTTTTAATTCACTCTCAGAAAACAGCTTCTTGGTCATATACATAGAAAAAATAGACTTGGTGTGTGTTGGAATATTTTTCCTTCCTTTAGCTATGTTGTATTTTCCTTTTCAAGATTAAAAGTACTGCCATTGGAAGGTTCCTGTTTTCTAAAATATACCTGTAGGAAAATTAATATTGTTTTATGTATATACTCGAGTCGGCAGTTGTAGATAAACATTTACTTGTTTATTCTTAACTAGCCTTTACCAAATTTGAGTATGGTAGTGCTTGTGGGGAACAGTTGTGGTACTATAGGTTTGATTATTGACACCTTGAGGCCTGACTGCTACAACCAAGATTTGTATTTTCTAAGGAGTTATCAAGATGGCATAATGTCATCTGTTCTGAAGGGATTAGAACTTTCCCTATTACCTATATACCACCCCCTTGTCAGAATTCTTGGTAATTATCTTTTTATATTCTGTGATTGTCACTCTTGGGGCTTCATTTTTATCTATATGGATAAGAAGAAAAATATTTAAATAAGAAATCTGGCAATATTTTTAAATGAGAGTTTTAGATAAATATCAGTCATTGCTATTAATAGTGTTATTTTAAATTTGCGTTGTAGGGGTAAGTCTTGACTGGAGTGAAAAGAGACCAGAATTTGTCCGTGGATATAACCATCCCTGTGGTTGGTTTTGTGTTCCACTTCAAGACAGTCCAAATCAGAGTCTTTTGACAGGCTATATTCAAACAGATCTGCGTGGGATGATTCCTCACTCTGCGGTAGATACAGCCATGGCAAGCACTTTAACCACCTTCTATGGTGATTTACGAAAAGCTTTACAAAAGGTATAATATGTTTAAACTTGCAGTGCTATGATCGCCTGAATCAACTCTTTCTCTCAGCTTCATGGCCTGTGAAAATTGATTCATCTCTTCTGCATAGTCTGTAGAAAAAAATTTTTGGTTTAGTAGTACAATGTTTTATTTTATTTCTAATGTAAATAACTATCTAAAAGAGGGCTTTTCAGTATTCTGTAAGAGTTATTTGCACATCGTTTGGTATGGCAGTGAATGGAGAGTATGACAGAAATCCACAGAGAAGTAAATATAGTTCTTTGACCCATACTCTTTTTTTTTTTTTGTCTTTTTCCGTGTCCAGCAATGGATCGCAACCCTCAGTGTTGCCCCCGTACTGGACTGGGGACCGGCAACGGGATTGCAACCCTTGGTGTTGCTCCCGCGCCTCGCTCAGCCAGTGAGCGGGAACCGGTCTGTATGTGGGATCCGAACCCTCGGGCGGGAGCGCCGCTGCGCTTCCCAAGCGGCGCACTTATCCAGTGCGCCACCGGGCCGGCCCCGACCCATACTCTTAAGAAATCGCATAGTGCCTCAGTATGGATATCTTGGCTGCTTGGATATTAGAGAAAGCACAAACTTTAGGTTAAAATCACCTATTTTAGAGCTTTATGAACATTTTGTAAAATTTTAATTTTTCTTGAAGTTAGATGCTAGAGCTTTAATTTTGATATGTTCATGAGTTTGTCACTGTCTTGGACAAAAGAAAAAAGCCCTTCTCTATATTGTATAAAAGCCCTTCTCTATATTTATTGACAGTTGAATTGCACTACCTTAAGTATGAAGACCAAAAATGAAAAAGAATATATATCATAGTAACTATAGGTACAATTCAAATACAATTTGGTTTTGATATCTAGATAGCATTCTTTTTTGTATATCTTTGGAAACACACTTGTGTTTTTATGAGTATTTAGTATGGGAATCTTAAAAGCATTTATACATGAACAGCAAAATATAAAAAACTGCCAAGTATGCACTGGGAGCACCACATTGATTGAGCAGTAGTCTGGGTTGTGTGAAATGGCTGGTGGTATCCTGTAATCACCAGTAGAGAGTCATCTTTCTAAAAAGTCAAATTCAATGAATGTTCTGTACATGTTTCAGTTTTTAAAGTGTCACTCAACCCATAAAGCATTATAAACTGCATCATAAACATTCACAGTTGTGATGTAACTTCAGTCTGGAACAATATAACGAATTCATTCTTAGATTTATCCAAATGACTAGATTTCATTTTTTTGCTGTGTACTCTTTTTGAGAAAAAAAACAGCTTTATTAAGTTATAATTTACATAATATACAAGTTACCTATGTTAAGTGTGTAATTCAGTAATTTTTTTTCATACATTTATAGTTGTGCAATCATCACCATAATCTAGTTTTAAACATTTCCATTGCCCCAAAATGTCCCTTTTGTCATTTGCAGGTTCATATCTAACCAAAGTTTATTGCAGTTGCCAGTATAAAGAAGATGAGGAAAAAGACTATAATAGATTTTGTTTGGTTTGCATTTTAAGAGTAGATGTGGGGGCCGGCCCGGTGGTGCACTGGATAAGTGCGCCCCTTGGGAAGTGCGGCGGCGCTCCCGCCCAAAGGTTCGGATCCCACATACAGACCCGTTCCCGCTCACTGGCTGAGCGAGGCGCGGGAGCGACACCGAGGGTTGCAATCCCGTTGCCGGTCCCCTGTCTGGTACGGGGGCAACACTGAGGGTTGCGATCCGTTGCCGGACACGGAAAAAGACAAAAGACAAAAAAAAAAAAAAAGAGTAGATGTGTATGTGATTCTAAGCTTGGGAGCCTTGTGATAATGTATTGAATATGTTATCTGAAATACCATAATGATACAGAAATTTAACAATGTGGGTTGGGATTGATATTAACGTAATTGAGTCTACTGCTTCCGTGCTATAGGACAGAAACATAATGTAAGCCATATATATAATTTTAAATTTTCTAGCAGTCACATTAAAAAAAATAAAAATAAACAGCTGAAGTTAATTTTAACAATATATTTTATTTAACTCAATATATCTAAAATATTACCATTTCAACATGTAAGCAATATAAAAATTATTGAGATAGCTTTATATTCTTCTTTTCTAACTCTTTGAAATCTGGTATATATTTTAATAATATGGACTAGCCACAATTTAAGTGCTCATTAGCCACACAAGACCAGCAGCTACTGTATTTAATAGCACAGTTCTATAGTATATGTATTAACTTGAGGTAGACAATTTCATGGAATTACTCTTAAATAGAAATTTTTTCTAGTCTCTAGAGCCTTCAATACTTGCTAAGTAGGATGTCTGAACTTTAAAAATAAATTAGTTAGTAGTAGTCAATAAAATAAAAATTATTGCCAAAAATATTTTCCTTTAAAGATAGGGCAGTTGATAAAATGAAAGAATATAATCTGCTGTACTGTTATATGGTTGATTATTTTCTGTAGCTTATAGCTAGTGTGTATTAGAAACTTGTGTATGTAGGAAATATTTGGCAAAGTACTCTTTTCAGCATGTAGTATCTGTTTTTTTAAGGGAATTAGTTTCATACAAGACTAACTTATTAGTTTGTGTTGATAGCTCTTGATTAACCCTGGAAGTTTAAAACAATGCTTGGCAAAAATAATTATGAGAATTTTGTTTTGTAGCTTTTTATAATATAAACTGCTAGAGTATTAGAGAGATTGTAAATGTTAAAAGTCTCTTCACTTCAGTGTTCATTGAGGTAGGATATATTTGAAATTGTAGATTTCTATGTATAAAATTATCTCAGTTAATACAATTTTCTTTCTTTCCTTCTTTCCTCCCTCTTTGTTTTCTAATTGAAGGACAGACATTTTATCAACACTGGGGTTGAATTAAATTAACATCTGAAGCTAAAAACTCTATAATTTAGGTTGCCTCTATAATTTAAATGGATACAGCAGCTATCCCAACCCTATAGATAAATTAATGGAACTCCGAGAGGCTAAGGCAATTGACCAAATTTCCACTAAAACCTGTGCTATATAATTACTTGTCTGATGCATCTCCCGTGTCTTTCTTATTTGACTTTTAGAAGCCAGGGATGGTGAGACTTGAGCATAGAGGAAACAGATTAATTCTAGAGTACAGGAAGTTGGAGTTATAATTTCTTCATTGTTGCATTGTTTCCAAAGACTTTAAATGTGTAGTTAAGATTTATCTCTTGCAATTCAATAAAAGTCGTACTGTATATAGATTTTATTTTTTAAGTTTATTTTATGAACCAATATGTAAAACTAGAATATTTGTTAAACTAATGAGTATGTATTACTATGAATAAAATGCGTTTATTTTTAAATTGCTATGAAATATGAGAATAAAAATTTCTAGACACTTGAAATTGATCAATATTGTCTGCGTAAGTTGCTTTAACCTTATGTACTGACCAAATACTTAGTTTCACCTATCTGAATTTAAAGTATGTAATTTAACTTCTTGAACTCTTATAAAAGAAAATATAAACCTGGAAAAATAAACTCAACAACACATGCTAATCTCCTGCCAATAACTTGTGTAATATTAGCCACAATGTTGCTGAAATCTGTGCAATAGCAAATAGCAAATTTGTTTGCTATTATATACCATGACAAATGATGAATGTATTCTGCCCTTATTACAGTAACATGGACAGGGTTTATTGTACATTGTTCAAATAATTGTGTTAACTTGATTGGGAATTGTGATAGTTTCATTTGGAATTTAAAAAGCTGGAAATAATTACAAGGTCACCCATGATCTATGTTATGAGAAAGCAGTTTGGGATGCCGTGGGTAGTATATAATAGAAAATATGACTATGAAGGTGGCTTAAACAAATAGGGGTTTATTTTCCTCATTTAATGAAAAATCTTGTGCTACGGTCTGAGCGTTTGTGGGCCTCCCCCCCAAATTTATATGTTGAAATCCTAACCCCTAAGGTGATGGTTTTAGGAGGTGGGGCCTTTGGGAGGTGATTAGGTCACCTTCATGTTACGATTAGTACCCTTATAAAAGAGGCCCAGGTGAGATGCCTGGACCCTTCTGCCATGTGAGGACATAGTGGAAAGGTACCTTCTGTGAGGAAGTGGCCTCTCACCAGACACCAAGTCTGCAGCTGCCTTTATCTTGGATTTCTTTCAGAAATCCCAGAAATAAATTTTTGTTGTTTATAAGGAGCCGAATGGACTAAGACATCTGGATTTAGATAATTGTTAATGTTTTTCAGCTTAAGTGTGTCAAGGCCAGTGTTTCTACAGTTGTACTGATCTTTCCATTATAATGATAAGGGGACTGACTAGCTCTGGAAATTACATGCACATTCAAATAAAGAAGAAATGGGGGAAGTCATGTCACCACTCATCTGTCTCTTTTATCAGGAAAGAAAAGGCATTCCCAGAAGTTTCTTCTAGCTTTTTTCCTGATAGTGTGGATCACATGACTACCCCCTAACTGTAAAGGAGGCTGGGAAAATGAGTGTAAGGATTTCCAGCCTCTTGGAGAAGGGGTTGGTAATGACTCTTGGGATAGCCAATCATAGCATCTCCCACTGGATCATCCTTGGGAGATGTCATGTAAGAAAGTGATGGCCTCCCAAAATAGAAATGAAAAAATTGTTATTCACTCTCTTCAAGAAACATTTTTGGATACCTTCTACATGGCAGATACTACATGGCTATCCTTAATTGAGGTGATGAGGTGATGGAGCTTCCCCTCCTAGGTTGTTAATTAATGGTGTCACGTGGCTTTCAGCATGAATGACCTATGTTTGTATTACTGCCAGAAGCAAAGGATCTATATGGATGAAGACTTCCATAGCCAGAAAATGACAAAGAACTGCTGAAAAATATGAACTACAAATGTATCCCAGGAGATAAGTAGTGGGTGGACCCATTTGGCTTGTGTCGTGGGCTGTACTGGTGATGAAAGGAGTGCACTATTCTGCTGATAAAAATAATGGAGGAAGCAGAGGGTGTAGTTACCAAAATAGGCTTTTATTCTTTT